TCATTTTTCCTTTGGGTTTCCCAGTGGATTTAGAGGCACTGGGAGAGGTTTAAGGATAACTCGTGGCTTTCCACCCTGGGACCTGGATGGATGGTCAGTGTGTGGAGAGGAGACAGGATTGAGAGGCAGATCAGGAGCTCTATGTCCCAGGACTTGTCCAATCCACTCACTGAAGGGAAAAAAACAAGCCATTCTTTCCTACTCTCTTCTATAGTCACACAACACAGAATACATCTGTACATAAGACACACGTGTGTGTGGTCGTGGGGGTCCCCATGCACCACACAATCCTCCAGTGACAACCAACTGGTTGTCCTATAATTCAAGTCAATTTGACACTGTTTACCTGGAATTAGAGTCAGATCTCACAAGTTAAAGGCTCAATCCTGCAAGACTGTCCCCCATTGCAGATGCTAGTCATAAGCCGTGGGTTGCGACCCGTGTTTCTGACCAACAGATTATAAATTGGGGTACCCACTTCCCCCTCCTTAGGTTCAGCTAATATGCTGGAGCAGCTCCCAGAACTCAGGGAAACGCTAATGTATACTGTTATACAGGATTCTACGAAGGGTTCAGATGGGCAGCCAGACGGAAGAGGTGCTAGAACAAGGCATGTGGGAAGGGAGCACAGAGTTTCCATGCCCTGTCTGGGCCCTCTGCCCCCAGTCTCTCCTGTGCTCAGCTCCCGGAAGTTCCCTGGACACAGTCCTGTCAGCTTTTCTATCAAGTTCATTATGGTCACGACTGAAGAAGCATTGGCCACTGGTGAAATCAACCCTCGTCCCCTCCCCGCTCCTGAGAACTGAGGAGGCGGGGCCGAGTTCCCACCTGCTAACCCTGCCTTGGTCATTCTAGTGAGCAGCTCCCATCCTGAAGCTATTGGGCCTCTCATTAGTGTACACAAGAAACTCTTCTCACTCTGAGAACCTCAAGGGTTTTAGTACCTGTGAGCCAGGAACCAGGGACAGAGACCAAATATATACTTCTTATTATTTTCCAGTGACACGGCCTGTTTCACAAATAGGAAAATGAGACCCGAAGGAGTGCAGAAGTTCACCACCTGGAGCCCCCAAAGTGTCTGAGCCTTAGAGAATGGGACCCAAGGAGTCCTGCTGTCCAGCCAGAGACACATTCCCCAGGGGCTTGTGAACTCCAGCCCCTGACAGCTATTTTTCAAAGAAAGAGGAAAGAGGGTGGGGTTTCAGGCAAGACGGGCTTGGCCTGGGCTGAAGGCCAGTTCACAGCCTCTAGAGAACATAGAAGCTCTGTTTCATGAGGTCAGACTATGCCTGACCTCAGCCAGCTGTCCTGTCTGGGTCTGAAGTGGGTAACTAATGGGCAGGAGGGTGTGGGGTGCCCACTCAGGCAGACAACATGCTTGAGTGGAGGTGTACCCTCTCTCCCGGGGAACATGGCACTGATCCGAACTACATCCAGATCGAGGTTTCTCCTGCCCAACCTGTTCCTGGATGTGTGACCCTGGGCCAGCCATCTCCCCTCTCCTGGCCCAATCTTCTCGTCTGCAAAATGGGGACATCCCAGAGTATGGCTCCCATGCTCCTCAGAGTTGAAGCAAATATCAGCTGAGGACATGGATAGACAAAGTGGTGCTTTGTGAACAGTAGAGGGCCGAGACTTCGGTATGGGCTCAGTCCTACCTCTGCCTCACGTCGGAGCCCAGCAGACTTTCAAAGTTCTGCTCCTTCACAAGACGCCACTACTCTGGAGAGGAAAATGCTAGTGTGGTACTCAGGGGTCCAGAGACCTCATCCTGACCCAGCAGGCTTGACAAGCTCAGTGAATGGCAGGGAAACTGTGGGCAGCCATGTGTCAGAGGTACCCAGCTACTGAGCTGAGGCTCAGAAGAAGGGCTCTCTGATTCCCAGGGAAAGAAGGACCCTTATTCATCCTACGCATGCATTGAATAGGTGGGGAAACCGAGCTTTACAGAGACAAAGCCACCTCTCCAGGGTCACCCAGGGCAAAATAGCCCTAAGGTCCTGACTCCCAGGACATGGGTCTTTATGCCCCTCTGCCTGCCAACCCAAGTCTGAAGAAGGGTCCTGAATCGTAGGATGTTCCATCACGTCGCTGGCAGACTTGGATTCCTTGTAAATTCCATCTTCTTCCTACCAGCGCAGGCCGTAAACTTTGTCATGAAGTCCCATGGAGGGCACAGTGGCCTAGGCCTCCTCAAGCTGATCCCTTGGGGACTGAGGCTTTGCTGTGGTCACTTGTAGGGAATTCCCATGAGTGAGGATGGCAGGTTTGAGCCAAGGCCGTTAACAAGGCCCCTTTGGCCTTTGAGAGACAACGGAAGATTCAGAAAACAGATTAGGGAATTCACAATTCATTGAGTGAAAAGCTCTTTGGGAATCAATAGGGGAATTTATTGGGGGTCTCTGGAGAGATTCTTTCCTCAATTTTCCCCCTAATGAAAGTAGAGCTGGCAGGGATAGTGCTAAAATGTAGTACTGGATACCATTTAATGAGCATTTGTTATGTTCCAGGCAATCTTCTGTGGAAAGTTAACTTATTTACAACAAGTGTCTGAGATTTAATTGTTTGCATTTTATAAGTGGGAAAACCAGGGCTCAGAGAGAGAACTCACTTAGACAAGGACACATAGCTTGTAAGCAGTGGGGCCTGGGCAGGAACTGGGTCAGCCTAGAGCCAGAGCCTGTGGCACTGACCATTCTGCAGCACTGCCTCATATAGAAGAGGACAAATGTAAGCGCTGCCCAGAGGACAAAGCCCAGCCCAACCCAGCCAGGTCCCTCAGGCGCGCAGCAGTGGTCAGGTACAGCAGGATTGCTGAGGGGACAAATCCACGGCCGCTGAGACCCCACAGTTAGCCCAGGCTTGCTGGAAAGTGGTCCGAGGCCTTGTGTAAATCCAGCTCTGCCATTTACTATGACACTGGGCAAGCCACCTCCAAACAACTCCGAGTCCCAATTTCTTCCTCAGGAAGTGGGAGAGAGCGGATATCAGCCTCGTGGGGCCTTTAAGGGGCTTAGCACAGAGCTAGGCACAATGGAAGTACAAAACAAATGTTGGCTGTTAGTGTGATGTTCAGATATCATTGTTCGCTGTTATCCTTCATTTCAGCATCTCTGTGTTTCCTGTGGGCAGGGAGGTTGTTGGTGCGCAGTTCTTCGTGGAGACGGAAAGATGCACAAGGTGACCTTTGGGGCCCTTCCCACCCAAAGATTCTTATAACATTCATCTCTCCTTTAGCCCCTTCCTCTCTTGCAGTAGCTGTGGTCTCTCAGAAGTCAGTTTCCATCCTTGTGCCCCAGGTTTCCCAGCTCCCTGCCTGTGGTCTTCACTGGCTACATCCCGTTTCCATGGCAACAGTGTTTTAAGAGCCTTCGACCCCCCTCTGAGGCGCCAGGCCTGGGTGGAGATGGGCTGATCAAAGCTCTGAGCATCCCTGGGCCTGTCTGGATGTGCAACAGTAGGACGTGCAAGGGGGGTGGCTTCCATGTGTCCCTTCACTTACTGGAAACTTTCTCCCCAGTGCTCAGGGCCGAGAGGTGGGATCTTTACAGGGCGACGAGGTCACGAGGGCTGTGAAGGGATTGATGCTGGAGTGGCCTCTTTGTAAAGGATGGCTTCCCCCTTCCCTCTCTCCCAGTGTGAGGCTTCAGGCCCTTGCCAGAGGAGGCCCCTCCGTCTCTGACTTCCCATCCTCCAGAACCATGAACCAAATAAACTCCTACTGTACACAAATGTCCCAGGCCATGGTGTTCTGTGATCACAGCACATTATGGAATAAGACACCCCTCACCTCATCGAGCGGCATGGGAAAGAACCCAGCAGGTGGCTCCGAATGCACCTCCAGGCACCCAGCCCTGAGCCCGAGTTCAGTTGTCTGGGGTGGGTTCCCCCAGAGAGCTGCCTTGTCATCATTTCCACTCATGGTGCTGAGGCAGGAGGGCTACAGCCCACTTGGAGAAATCTTGTGGCTAGCGAAAGATTCCTGCAGCCATCTGGGGCCTTGAGTGTACATGACCTTTTGCTGAGATGACTCTGGAAAGTTCCTGGCCCTCTTCCCCTTCCACAGCTTATGAATAGATGTGTGTCCACACTCTCATCTGGGGCCTGGGAAACAGGCTAGGCTATCAGTTGGACTTGGAGACCAATACAGACTAATTCACGGGACCAGCACTGTCAGCACCGAGATGCTCAGTGGGGCCACTGGGGCGCTCCTCTGGCTGAGCGAAAGGTCTGGAAGCCTTCCGGATACCCTACCTGGAACAAGGCCTTTCTTGCTGTCCCCCACCACCTGCTGGGGTGCCTCCTCTCCAGCCCCAGCCCCCACAGCACCTAATGACACTGTGTTGAAAAGGAAGCAAGGGCCTGGGTGGGGATGGGAGATGCTGCATCCGGGACACAGCAGTGAGGTGAAGACACAGGACCTCAGGGGAGGAATTCTCTTTGGGTACAAGGTCAAGATTCTGTGGGGTTCCCTGGCTGAGCAGGGGGTCCCTGCCTTCGGGAGAAGCTGAGTGAGATGGAGCTGCGGAGCTAACAGTAACCCTCACCGTTACCTGCAAGTGCACAGCTGTCTGTCACTTCAGTGAGACCCCTCAGGTGGACACTGAGCCTGTGATCGATGGTGCCAACTCTAAGTGCCTTAACCCACACCCCTGGCCCTCAGGTGAGGCTCAGCTGTGCACCTGTGTTCCTTGCCCTCTCCCAAAAGCCCCCAGCAGGACGGCATTCCAGCTGCCCACGTGGAAATCTGTTCCACTTCCTTGTTTTACTCCTGTCTCAGACCGACCTGGGTCCTGGGGTCACTGCCAAAAGCACTTACACTCAAGTCCTTGTCACAAGTCTATTTCCCTGTGACCCTAAGACAAGAGCCCATGTGTGCTGTACCCTGTAGCAGAACCACGGTGGCTCTGGTGCCCACCCCACCAGCACTGGAGGAGTGTGCTAGGCTGCCTGAAAGGGAGCTCTTGGCCACATCGGCACCAACACGCCTTCCACGAGGAGATGCTGGAGTGACAGGGCTGACAAACGCTTTATTGCATGGGGGTCCTGGCTCCCACATCCCCAATTCTGCATGTGTGAGAAGCGGCTCTTCCTGGAGTTTTCTGGAGCCAGAAGCAGGGGCACAGTTCCTGTCCTCCTAGCACAGTCCAGCTGTCCAAGTGTCCAAGGGACTGACCAGGGTGCCCCAGCTCTCCCTCCAGATGGTCTTGTGCCAGCCACCCCAGAGCTTGGTGTCACGAGGGGTGTCCCCAGTTAGAGGGATGCAGGTGGACTTGTTTGGGGCGAGTCCTCCAGAGATGTCTGTGAGTCTGTACCCTCTGAGGAGAAGCTGTCCCCCGTGGGGCAGGAGACCTGGCTCTTTCTGGGGAGCCACTGCCAGGAGAAGAGGGCGACAGGAGAGTGCTTCAGGAGCTCCCGGGAGCCTCTGGTGTCATCAGCCTTTACCACCTGGCTGAGGCACGGAGGGTCTGCCTGGAGAGTTCTGTTCTGCCGGCTTCTGGCAGCCCAAGGAGGCCAGCAGCGTTTTGGCAAATGATCCATACCCAAAGAGTCCTGCAGGGGCAGGTCCCATTTCCCCTTGGAAGCCACTTCTCCACTCAGACCCCAGCCCTTGGATGCTGCCCCTTTTGGTTCTGAGGGTTCCAAGTGGGCAGTGGAGTCTGCCGGGCAAGAGCAGTGGGCCAGCGCCTTCTTGAGCAGGCTCTGGATCTCCTGGTGTCTCCCCCGGGCTTCCTGCCACAGGTCCTGACCTAGGCCCGCCCGGCTCAGGGAGGCCACCTGCAGTGCCATGGCTGCCAACTTCTCCGCAGGGAACTCAGATATCAGACGCTGCAGGTAGCGGTGTAGGCGGCGCTGGTCCCCAGGGCTGGCCCTCTGTGCCTTGCCTAGCCTGAGCTGGCTCACCAGGTCCTGGCAGTCCATGTGGAACCAGGTCATCTAGGGGTGACAGAGAGGGAGGTGGGGATGCCATTGGGGTGCCGGACTCCACAGGGACAGGGTTCCTATCTGAGCAGCGGGGACACCCTGCAAGAACTTCGCTCCCAGAACTGATGAGTGCCCGTGAATTTAGAGGCCCTCAGCTTGGTGGTAGTTTTCTCTTTTGATCAGGGTAACAGTGGTTTACCTGTCTATCCTGGGCTACGAACACTCACCACCTAGCAACAGCTTCCAGGACTCTGGGGCTCTTTAGGAACCTTCAACAGTAAGGGCCAGTAGGACCTGCCCTCTCTGGGGCTGTTTCTCCTGTAAGAATTTCTCGGGGGAGCTGCAGCAATCGTGAAAAGCCTCACAAAAGCTGCAAATGTGGACCCTGAGACTCGCTTAACCCCTGAGAGAGGAGTCTGGCTAAGGTGAATGAAATGCCAACTGTTTGTGGGTCTCATGTATGATCACACTGAACTAGGCCAGCAGCCCATTTTATAGAGGAGGAAACTGAGGCTCAGAGCAGTGAAATAACTTGCCCCAGGTCACATAGCAAGTCAGGGAGGAGCTGGTTTCTTCGGGCAGAGAGGAATTGTGCATGAAGGAGAAACTGGCCCAGGTGTGGCAGGACAGTCAGCCCAGCCAGGCCCTGAGTTCTCTCACTCTAGTGGGGCTTCTGCCCATCTTGTGATTCTGCCTGTCCCCAATTCCTCCACAAAATATCTACAGGCTGCAAAGAACCCCACAGGCCCTCCCGAGCTCATGAAAAACCTAATCTCCCTCTCCATTAATTTAGAGCCCGACAGCGAGCTGCTAGGCTGTGGGACGGCAGAACCATTTCCTCCATGGAGACCGTCTTTCTGCGGATTAAGGGAACTTGTCTTTAGATAAATGGCTTCATATTCATGGCAGCACATGGAGCTCAGGCCGGGAAAGGGCTCCGTAAATCTCCGTTAGCAGCACAATTGTGTTATTATTACATAGCACCGAAGCTGCTGTACACAGGTGCCCACCTGGGGCTGAACCCGCCAGTGGACTGCCCTGTCTGTCTGTCTGTCTGGACCTTTCCAGACAAGCTAGACAGATGTAGACAATGACTGACTCAAAAAACTATCCAGTCCAGTCCATGGTGCACAGAGAAAAGGTCAGGACCAGAGAGGAGCAGCACCTAGCCTGGGTCACACAGCCGGAGTTGCTGAGTTGGGCCTCGCCTTCCTCAGGGCCAGTTCTAGCCTGGGACCGATGCCACCTTCTTAAGGATCACCTGGGACTGCTGTCTTCACTTTCCTTCACTCCCCAGGCCAGCCCCCGCCCCCAGCTCAGAGTGCATCTCCTGCGCTGGCCACCTCCAAGGGGGCACAGCGGAGACGAGGAAGTGACAAAGCAGCGGAGTCATCTCAGATCACAACAAGCCCTGGAGCGACGGAGCAGGTGACGAGAGAACAGAGAGGCCAAGTGGTCAGAACGGGCCTCTGGAGAAGCTGAGGGAGAAGGACAGACAAGAGCCAGCCCGGCCAGGGGAGGCCTTCCCAGGCAGGGGAGCAGCGTGTGCAAAAGCCCTGGAGCTGCAGCAGGTTGAGTGGATCCATAGAAGGCCTCTGGGGCTGCAGTGGGCAGAAATCAGTGAGCAAGGGAATGAAACTTCCTGCTGCTGGGCACCCTGCCCTGACCTGGCATTCTTCCCCCTCCATATAATAAGAATGATATTAACAGCGATCCTGAAGTGGAACGCCCCTGTGCTGGGGGCTACTGACAGCTGATCTGAGTCAGACCCTACCTGGGAGGGCCGGCACTAGAGCCAGGTGGTCTGATTTTGAATCTCAGCTCTTCCGCTCTCCCAGCTGTGTGACCCTGGGTGTTATTCGATCTCTCTAGTTCCTCCTGTGTAAAGCAGGTATAACGCTGGTACCGGGCTGGTGTGATAAGAAAACAGATGTGAAATGGCTGGAACAGTGCCTGACACATCAGAAGCATCAGCTGTCGCCATCATCAGGGACCCTGCGGAGCCGGGGCTCAGAGCAGTGCAGTGCTGTTGAGGCCACACAGCCCACGTGGGCACACGTGGCCCTGACTCTTGAGTCCCGGATTCTGCCTCTTCCTTGCTCCCTAAGACCTGCACAGCTGTGCATGTGGCGCCTTCACTGGCACCACTGACACCTGCTTGTCCTGCCCACTGCCTCCCAGAGACAGAGAGCTCACTATCCTCTCTTGGCCCTGGGCATGCATGCTTGAACCCGGGTCCTTCCTACGCCCTCCGAGCATCCTGTGTTCTTGTCCCTGCGTGCAGGGCCAGCCTCACAGCTGGGATGTGGGAGTCAGGCTCTTCCCACCCTCTGTCCCTAGTGACAATTCGAGGGGCAGCCCTGAGGTTTCTGGATCTCCAGGCAGCTCCTCTGTCCCCCAAACTCTCAGTTTCCCTATCAGAAAAATGAGGAGTTTGGCAGTATGAGTTTAAGAGGGGCAAGGAGGCCTTAAGTTAAATCTTGCCTGATCCCTAACACTCTGGGCAACCTTGAGCAATCAGCCTGTTTTTGGGCTTCGGATTTTTCATCTGTGCAATGGGAGCAGCACTGGTGTCCAGTCAGAGTGCGGGGTGTTCACAAGAGGCTCTGCTAGCCACCTGACCCAGTTCTCCCTCGCCCCTCACAGGACTGTGGGACTGAGTCACAGTAAGAGCCAAGGGCTGCTTCCAGGCCTCCACCTGTCACCACAACCCCAGCCCAGAGAGGGGTGTGTGCGGACAGGCGGGCCGCAGGCTGCAGGGCTCACCTTCTTGCAGAAGCGATGCAAGTGTAGCAGTGTGTCGAGGTCTGTGCGCTGCCGTTCAGCCGCCATGTAGAAGTGAGTCAGCTTGGCCTGAAAGGCCCTCTGGGTGGCGGCAAAGGCCCCCAGCCCTGGGAGACCCTCGCCTCCAGCCTCACCAGCCCCTCTGGCCGCAGCTCCCAGTTGGGCTGCCTGTTTGGACAGCTCCAGGCCACGGCGGTACTGGGCCTAGGAGGGGACGGCAGGGGTTCTCAGCTCCTGCCTGGGGATTCCTCGAGGTCGGGGACCTCCTACCACCCCACTTCAGAACCACCCTGAGTTTCAGTCTCCTCCTCTACAGTTTGGTCCTACAGCACCCCTTGCAGGCTCAGCAAGTGCAGGACAACTAGGAGCTGCCATTGTGCCTTGGACAGTGTCCAGGCCTTTACCTTGGCAGGGATCTCTGGCCTCCAAGTCTGCATCTGAGGCTTTTCCTTTGCATCCCCTAGTTCTCTCTGTCAGTGTACCTGTTGCCCCTGGGCCCCACCCACCACCCTAAGGGCTGGATGGGCTGAGGTACCCTGCCTCTGGCTTCTCCCCATCTACTCTCTGAAGCTGGCTTAGGGGTCTGGGGCAAGGCTTTGGGATATGAATTTTACGAACTGCTCTGGAACTGAGTGCCCTTTGCACCTCGCCATCTGGAAGGCTTCCTGGAGGTGGAATCATCTCAGCTGGGTTCTCTGGAGCCCCAGCCTATTCTTCACACGGTCTGGAAGTCTCCTTGCACTTTCCACCTGCACCCTTTTGCCCTAGCAGGACCACCCCCTTAGCACCCTCTCCACTCCCTCTGGAACGCACAGCAGCCTGCAGGAAGAAGGCCTCGAACTCGGCATGGACTTGTGCCACTGTCTCCATACTTCCATCCTCGGGGCTGAGCGCCTGCAGGCACTGGCTCCCTTCCTGCTCCATCCAGTCGCTGACCTGGACAGGGGAACATTGGACACAAGGGACTGCTGGGGGAGACACTGGGCCAGCTCCCTGACTTCTGGGAGGCCAAGGTCTTCTTGACTCAGTCTTTCACCACCCTGGACAGGAACCTGGCCAGTTCTTGGCAGGAGCTGTGGGGAGGGCGTGTTCTTCAAACATCTGAACAAACTCCCAGCCTGAGCAGGACCCAGGGAGAGGATGTGACCTGGGCATCCTGCACACAGTCACAGGGTGGCAGGTCTTGGCTCATTCGATGTGACACTCACTACCACCCAGTCATAAAAGGGATGCCCTAGGGGTGATGAGCTCTTCTTCCCTGGGGCCATGCAATCAGCTGCAGAGCAAGGGGTCTGGGCCTGCTGTAAACCCAGGAGGTCACGTCCCTGTTCTGGCCTCAGTTTACCGGTAGTGAAATGGAGTACACATGAAGGTCCAGTGAGGGACAAAGGGTACCAAAGGCTTCTCATCCAGGAGTGCAAGTTCCCGCCTTCCTCTGGGGTATGTTAAAGAGCCAGACTAACTCACTGTGCCCTCACAAAGCCCAAGGTAGCAGGCAATCACCCCCAATCACAAACGGAGGCACTGGACACCAGAAAGCTGGGACTGGACTCCCAGCAGGAAGGGTGTAGTGATCAGACACCAGCATCCAGAAAGGTGGCAGCAGTGCAGGTTCCAGGATCGGACTCCAGGTGTGCAGCCATGGGCAGGCGGCACTGCCTCCCAGCCTCAGTTTCCTCATCTGTACAATGGGAGAAACCCTAACGACCTCCCTGCACCACTGATAAGAGATGAAATTGGAAAGCAGTGAAGTATACACAAAGGCTCTGGCCCAGGACTTGGCACACAGTTGGTGCTCAATAAGTGCAGCTCTTAGGGTGACGTCTTCCCCCTTTAAGCACTTACCGAATGCCATGCCATGCTCCCTGTCCCTAGGGTGCCAGCCTGGTGACCTAACTAGATAACAACCTGCCTAGCCAGGGTGGTGGAGAAGAGGGCCTCCTGGGTGGAGGGCAGCAGCCTGGCCCCACATCCCCCAGGCCAGCCTCCCCCCTCACCTGGCGGATGGCAGCCTCCAGGTAGCCCAGGCGGATGCGGAGCTCCAGCCTCCCCAGGAGGTGGTTGGATGTGGTGACCAGGATGTGAAGCTGCTCATCCACAAGGCTGTACAGGGCAGCTGCTTCAGCCAGATGGCTCCTGGGAGGTGGAGGACAATGAGACAGAGCCTGTGATGCTGCCCTCAAGCCCACCCTACTCTTGCCTAGCCCAGCCCAGCTCCCCAACTCTGTGACCCTGGTCCGGTTTCCAGCTACTGACTTGCTATGTGACCTTGGGCCAGTCCCTGTGCCTCTCTGAACTTCAGCCTTGTATGGGACCACGAGGACCGGAGGACACAGCAGGAAGTGAAATGCTCTTCCCCTTCCCTAGGAGGGCGCAAAACCAGCAGGACAGATCTGGGTTCAAGACCCAACCCTGCCACCTTGCAGGTGGGATCTGCACAATGTCTCTGTCATCTGTGAAGTGAGGACAGTAACAGAATCCACATGTGAGACAGAATGATCTAACTCCCCAGCCCTCCGCCCTGCCTGCCCACCATAGCCTGCCCTGCAAGCTCACAGAAATGTCAGTGCCCGTGTTCCACCCCAGGCCAGCCGAGCCAGGCTCTGGGCAGTCTCTATAGCTCCTCAGGAGGTGCTGGGGCAACCAGCGTGAGGGCCACACTCGTGCAGCAAAGTGCTTCACACAGGAGCCACACAGGACACTGGTCAGCCGGTTATGAATTCCATTGCAACGATGACAGGTTGCTGCCCTGCCCCCTCTCCATTTTATAGGTGGGAAAACTGAGGTCCTGAGGGGACAGTGACTCTCACTCGTGGAACCAGGCCAGAGCTATCTCTGCACAGACTTTTAAAAAATAGCCAAGCCCACAAAACACAAAGGGAGTAGATGGGATTCTTGCATAGAGATGGTAGGATGAAAGGAAGGATATCAGAAAAATAGAGGGGCCAGGGATTTAGCTCAGTGGCTCTGCACCTGCCTTGTAAGCGCAAGGTTCTGAGTTCAAACCCAGCTACTGGGAAAAAGAAAAAGAGAAGATCTACCAGGCGTGGTGAAGCACACCTGTAATCCTGGTGTTTGGGAGGCTGAGGCAGGAGGATTGCAAGTTCAAGGGCAGCCTGGGCAATTTAGCAAGACCCTGTCTCACAGTTTAAAATTTTTTTCATAAAGAGCTGTGGATGTAGCTCAGTGGTAGCGCACTTACCTAGCATGTGTCAGGCCCTGGGTTCTACCTCTAGTGCTTCAATAAAGAAAGAGAAAACGTGAAGAAAGAAGAAAGAAAAGGGCTGGGGGAGAGAAAAAGAAAGAAAAGCCTGCTTTTCCAAACCGGCAATGCTCTGCCTGGCCCTCCACGTCTGACTGAATCTTCCCACAGGTCGCTACCTTCTGAAAAAGGGGTGAGGGCTTAGACTGCGTGAAGCAGACGGTCGGATGCCAGAAATGCCAGCTGCAGGAGGCTGGAGAGGGAGAGGAGGGATTGGCAGGCCCTGGTCCAGCGCGGAGCAACCACACACAGCTGCTCGCGCAGTCCCACAGCGCCCCCTGGTGGAGATGAAGTCAGCCACGGGTCCATAAGGACCAAGGTTGCCGGGGCTGGGCAGGGAAGGTGAGGTTGGGACCGGGACCCTGAGGAAGAACAGTGCCAGCCCCGCCGGGCATTGAGAGGGGCTCCAGGCCCAGTGGTACCTGGGCTCCCATTTTTGTGAACCTGCCCCAGAATGCAGGGTGCAGCCCAAGGGGACCTGTTCAAGATTCTGGGGCCTGAGTGCCTGGGCTCAAGCCCTGGAGACACCACACGCCTCTGTGGGACCCTGCGCTAGTCACCAGCTCGGAACCTCACCGTCCTCCACTGTAACATAAGGATGATGCTGAAAGGGCGGGAATCGCATGAGTTAATATTTGCAATTCCTTAGAACAGTGCTGTATGCGCGCTAATGCTATGTGGGTGCTCAATAACTAACTGTTAAAACTTTATACAAACTTTGCTCTTGACTCCTGAACATAAGTAGCTGTGTTTTTTGCTGTTGATGTTGTTTTTGGTACCGGGAATCGAACTCGGGGCCTTGTGCTTGCGAGGCAGGTGGGGGAACCACTGAGCTAAATCCCCAGCCCAGTAGCTGTGTCTTAAGAGTGAGAATATTTCAAATCAAATGACGACCAATTTATTCACAGGTTGAGTATCCCTTCTCTTGGGACCAGAAGCGTTTGTATTTTGGAATATTTGCATACACATGAAATATCTCGGGGATGGGACTCAAGACTAAATGCAAGATTTATATATAACTTTTTACACAGCTTGAAGGTCATTTTATAGGATGTTTAAAAAATAATATTGGGCATAAACTTTCTACTTGGGCTCAAAATATTTCAGATTTTAGAGCACTTTGGAGCTCTGATTTCCAGGCTGGGGAAGCTCTACCTCGACGGTGCTGAGTGTCCCCTCCCCCAACCTGCCAGCATGCTGTGTCTGTCATCGACTCTGGCACACTGCAGTTCCCCTGTCAGGCTCACAGGGGTGAGGGTGCAAGACGTGGAGGGTTATGTTTTTGGATGTCCTGGCTCAGCTCCCCAGTGGGCCACTGTCACCTCACAGAGCCCCAGGAAGCACCTTCCAAATGAAGACAGCAAGGGCTTCACAGTGAGATGGGCATTTGGAGGGCTTGGCCCCGTGTCTGGATCAGAGGAGGGCTTGGTCCACAAGGGTGAGCAGAAGCTGGGAGATTGCCTGTGATGCCCACCCTGGGGTGAAGAAGGCCAGCGATGAAGGGGGGATGGCAGAGAAAGGCCAAGGGACTTGCCAAAGCCCAGTGAGGGCCTCCGGCTTCCATGCGGACACTCTACAAGTCCCCTTGGCTGGTGCTGCCACCGGTAGCTCCCAGGTTAGGGCACAGGGTGGGTTGGGTGGGTTGGGGAGGGAAAGGCCTGGGTGTCTGTACCTGATGTCAGGGTTAGAGTCCAGCCTGCTGGCCTCACACTGCAGCCTGGCTAGGGTGGCGCCACCTTCCTGCTGCAGGCCCAGCAGACCTGGGTCTCTCAACACGGCCTCCATCAGCTCCTTGGACTTGCTCAGACACCTGGTGGCCTCCTGTCAGCAGTGGGAGGTAACCTGAGGACCAGTCCTCACTTTCCTCCTGGGCTCCCCACATCAAGATCAAGCCCAACTTCTCCTGTTTGTCCAGAGTCTGTGCTTTTATCTCTAATGCCTCTCCTCAAGCCACGCCTCCCCTCATCACCATGGTAACTGTATCTCCTGTGGGAGCACCCATCCTATTCTTTGCTGCAGTATCCCGCTGCTGCCCTCTGGCTCCCCCTACAGTCTGTTCTCCACATGGCAACTGAAAAGTACAAATCTGATCACCCCCCTTGCTTAAAGTAGTGGCTTTCCTGCCCACTTATAATGGAATCCAGCTCCAGGGCCTGGTCTTTGACTTGGAAGAGCCTTCAGTGCTCTCTCCTTTCTGTTCACTTGCTCTGCTTCACACTGACCTTCAAGTTATTCCTGTTCCCCTCTTAAGGGCTTTGCACATATTTATCCTCTGCCTGGAGCGCCACCCTTCTCAAAGGTGCCCTTCTCTTTCTTGAGCTGCAGCCCTCAACTTAAAGAGCACCTCTTCAGAGAGCCCATCCTTCGGCCGTGGTTCTCAGTCTTACTTCCATGGCATCTGGGCACAGTCTGTAACCACCTGTCCATTTCTTGGTTTGCTGTTTAATCACCACCTGTACCACTGCACTGTGAGCTCTGCCAGGGCAGAGGCGAATCAGTCTGGCACAGCAGGTGCCCAGCAAATATTAGCCAAGTGGATGAATGAAAGACAGAGATGGTTCTGCCGCCCTGGCTACCCCCACCACTGAGCGTGGCCCGTAGCGTCTGGGGTGTGGTGTGGCTTCCCTGCCCCGTGGCCCAGGCTCACCTGCACCCCCCCGGGGGGCTCGCCCTTCTCAAACTCCTCGATGGAAGCCCGCAGCAGGGAGGAGGCCCGTTGAAGCTCAGCGAGGAAAGGATCCACCTTCTGCAGGATAGAGGCCAGATTGGTGTCAGGCACAGCCAGGAAGCTGCTGGCCCCGCCCCAGAGGACACAGAGAGGCGTCAGGACAGAGTTCCCACTGCAGTGTCTCTAGGGTGGACATGAGAATGTGCACGTCTCGCAAGTTCCTGTGAAATGATGGTGCCCCTGTCCTGGAGGACCCCACATTGGACTAGAATCACTGGTATTGGGATGAGAAGGGGGAGAAAGAAGACAGGTCTAAGTCACCCCTGAACCCAGCAGGGAGACCTTGAGGAGGGGGAAGGCAGGGTGAAACCCACATCCTTGGCTCGGTCCCACTTCAGCCCAGCTCTGCTTAGGCTGTGAGGTCTTGAGTAAGTAATTTAGCCTCTTGGACCTTTGCTTCCTCCTCTGCGAAATGGAGATCAGCGTACCTCCTGCCTCCTATGGCATGTGAGGATTTGGTGGTTAATTTGTTCATGGCACTCAGAGCCCAGACCATACTGGAATTTGTCACTGCCACCAGCTTTATATTCTGGCCCATATAAGAGTTAATGGAAAGGAAAGCTCTGAAAGCTGCAGTATAGTTCAGAAGCTACTGGGTTAGCTGAGGTCTCTGGAGATGGGAAATGGAGCCTGGGAACAAGCAGGAAAGGAAGTTTCTCAGGATACACCATTGGCAATCTGGATATACAGCCATCCCTTGGCATGTTAGGTGGACAGGTCCTAGGACCCTCACTGACACAGATCCAAGGATGCTCGAGTGCCTTATATAAAGTGCTGTCGCATTTGCATACACCCTAGACACAAGCTCCTATGTACTTTAAATCATCCCTAGATGGCATATGATACCTAATGGAATGTAAATGCTATGTAGATGCTACGCTGTATTGTTTAGGGAATGACAAGGAGAAAGTCTGTACGTGTTCATTTGGCACAGACGCAATCTTTGTTTTCAGATGTCTTCGGTCTGCAGGTGGTTGAACCCACGGTTGTAGAACACACATATCTGTTCGGTGGACTGTCCAGCCTGTTCCAACCCAGGCACAGCTGTACAAAGAGGGTTCCCTAACCAAAACCAAATCCACCACGGAGTTAGACTGGTAGTAAAGAGCAGCGGTTCTCAGCGGGGTTGACTTTGCATCCCAGGGACCTGTGGCAACGCACAGTGACATTTCTGACTGTCATCATTGTTGAGGACAGGCCAGCGATGCTGCTCAACATGACCGGAGCACGGGACAGTGCCCTACGTGAGACAGTGGCCTGGCCTCAGCTGTGAGCAGGTGCTGTGTTCCCTGTGCCTTACGCTGTTGGCACTGCTCGTGCCCTTGTGCAAGTCACCCCCACTCGGTGCCCTCATGTAATTTGGGAATGGAAGATTCCTGGCAGGGGCAGTGGAGGGGAGGGATCGTGGCCTGGCAGGGAAGGAGCCCAGCACCGGCAGTTTCTTGGTTTCCTCCCGCCCACGGAGGGTGGGTATCTGCCCCCCACCCCAACCCTGAGCTCCCAGGGCCGTGTGGGGCCACAGAGCAGATGCCCATAAATCTACTTTCAGTTCACACAGACACAGCTCTGAGCATTGCCGGACACTCATCTAAGCTCTTTATCCACACTGACTCAACCCTCATAAAAAACCCACTACCCGCCCCCATTTCATGGATGAAGAAGCTAAGGCTCAGAGATGTAAGTAGCTTACCCTAGGTCACACAGCCGAGTTGGAATAGAACCCAAGCAGTCTGGCCCCAGAGCCTGAGTTCTTATCATTCTGCTCTGTGCCTTCAGTATATATATGTTTGTTGAATGACTGTGTTTGATCCCAATGGGGTTGATGAATCCAGGTGGCAGGACAGTGAAGGGGGGAAGGGAAAGAAAGGGAGTCAAGGCGAAAGCTGTGAGGGTAAACACCTGGAAGAATTGCACCCACTCGCCGTGGCAGTAGGGGAAGGAGCCTTCCAGAGCTGCAGGCAGCTGGTCGGGGTCCACATGGTGGCTGAGGGCCTTCAGGGAGGCCAGCACCTCCACCTGCAGACAAAAGAAGTGAGTCAGGAGGACCAGAGGCTCTATGAAGACAGATGTTTGAGAAGGTCCTGCCTCCATCCCTGCCCTGGCACGAGTCCAGCTCTACAAGCTCAGAAAAATCAAAATTCAGAACGAGACCCTTGTTAAGAAATGGCAAATACACAGCCACCCTTCCAACCTGTGCCCAAAGCAGACATCATTAATCAACCTCAGCACTCGTTCCCTCTGAGCTTGGCCCTTTCCCAACACAGCTCTCCAGGAAATAGCAGAATTTGATCAAAGCTGGCTCTGTGACGAGACTGCCCTGGGAGACTTGCACGGCTTTCTGGTGACCCACCAAGGTACTGCCTCCTCCTCGGGATGGATGGGAAAAGTCACCAGTCCTAACAGTGTCCCCCAGGGCACGGAGAAGCGGGTAGGTGGTGGCTTCTCCCACGCAGTGAAGTTTCAGATTTATGCTGAGGATAGCTTGGAGACTGAGGGTTGGGGCTGGGTTGGTTCTGTGGGGTTTCAGACCTGTCTGTCATCCCTGCTACTCAGAGTGTGGCTTGTGGGTCAGCAGCACCAGCGTTGCCTCTGAGCACACTAGAAATGCAGTCCCAGGACCATCAGTGCCTTCACTTCGACAAGACTTCTCAGTGCTTGGTCCTCCTACCTGAGCACCACTCCGCTCCTCACAGAGGAGGCTGAGCCTCAGTTTTAGGAGAGGCTTTCTGGGCAATCAGTCTGGATGTTCTAAGCACACTCAGGTTTGAAAAGCACATCTCTAGCTCACACTGTGCCTCCTTAATTAACCTGGAGAAAGAAGGAGACCTTGTGAGTTGCTTCCTGAAGCGGGGCAGGGCCGGTGCCCACATTCACTCTTGTGGGATATGGCACTAATGAAAGGAAGCCACAGGCTCCTTCCCACAAAGTTCCACGTCACAGAAATGCAGAGGGGGGCAGCTGGAGGGTGGTTGATGCACTGGCCCCTGAGTCAGGAGATTCCAGCTCTGTGACTGGCTTGCTGGGTGGCTTAACCCTCGGTTTCCCCATCTGAAAGGGGGAGGAAGGCTGACAGGAGAAGCTTTTCAGGCAGGTCTCCTGCCACGTGCAACTCTCAGCCACATGGCGGTGTCTTCCAGGAGTTGTTGGTATGGCGAGAAAGACGTATGAGATGTGAAAAAAACTAAGGAAACTGGATAAAGAAGATGTGGTTTTTCTATAAAATGGAATACTAGTCAGCCATAAAGAATGAGAAATTAGATTCATTCATGGGAAAATGGATACATATTGAGGATATACTCCTAAGTGAAATACATAAGTCACACATGTGTAAATACCGAATAGTTCCTCTGGTGTGAAAAACTATAACAGTACCTAAGATCCCAATGAGATAAATGACCATGTGAAATAGGAAGAAAAAGGCTAAAGGTGTAGGGCAAATGGGAAGGGTAATAAGGGGAAAATATGAGAAAATGAAAAAAATGGAAATAAAGTGTTGGTGAATGCATTGGAAGGGGAAGAGGGGGTGAAGGGAGGGCAGGGACAAGGGGGAAAAGGAGAACCAAGACCTGTTATGTAAAGGTTCAAGATCCTAATAATGACTGTAACTGTACTGTATACCTAACATGTACCAATAAACTCAATAAAAGAAAAAAAAACTAAGGGGAGCATGGAAATCAAACCCCCTTTATTACAATAAAGAGCACACTGCCATTAGCTCCCCACGGACTATCCCCTTCACCTTGGACACACTCATCCCATCCCCCTTGCTGCGTTCTGAAGCCGTTCTGGAGTCCTCTTTCGGCAGTGTCTTTGGTTGCCCTGTCACGGCTGCCTCGGTGTCCTGGATTCACTGACAATGTTTACCGTCCATGGTTATTTTGACTTTCGGGACGAACCAGAAGCTGCAGGGTCCCAGATCCAGTGAACGCAGGGGACGAGGACCTGCCCTCATGTTTCTATGAGGCACCTCGCCGTCGGGGGGCGCTCGGGAGCAGCATTCACCGCGTTTTCAATCTCACCTTGTAAGGACGCTCATGGAGGGCGTCCAGAACTGCTTCAGAGTGGCAAGGGCGATGGGATAAGCGTGTGCAGAGGGGGATGGGAGTTGAAGGAGATTAATAGCATTGCGTCTTTCGCTGTAATAAATTTTAAACATTGGCCACCTATTCTGATTGCGCCTCATAATCCACTGACTGATTTGGTGACAGCTGCTTTGGAGGCCGGACTGGAGAAGCTGCACTGGGCCTCGTGTTTCATTCCCCACACTAGGACATTTGAAGGCCGTTTCTAGCTGGAGATTCCTGCCGTTCTTCTTGCCCCTTGCCCAACAGGTCCCCTCCCACTCCCCGGGCTGCCTCTGCTCACCTGGATGTCAGGTGACACCTGCAGCCGGAGAGCATCCTCCTTCTCCCCCAGGATGAGCAGTGCGCTGCCGGAGGCCAGGACCACAGCCTGCTGGAGAGAGCCACCTCAGGGGCATCCCACCCGAGCCCTCATGAGCTCCTGACCCCCACAATGCAGCAAGTGGACCCAGGCAAGTGTGGGGCTCCCCACTGCTAGGCTTTTGTATGATATGTTTGGAGGCGGAGCCACCGCGGGTCGAGAGAGCAGCAGGTCCAAGCTTCCTTCCCAGATGCCCCACTCCTGCTGCCTCAGTTTCCCCATCTACACAACAAGGAGGTCGTGCCGTGAGGCAGGCACCTCCAAATCCCATCCACCCTGCTGCCTGTAATGGTGACGTGGAAAACTCTTCTCTCCACCCTCCTCTGTTCATGAGGTCCATTTGAGCCACAGGGATCAGTTGAAGGCTGGATGTCAGAAGTAATGAGGACTAATGGAAACCAGGAAACCTCTGCTGGGACCTCTGCAGTCTCTTACTCTTTCCCACTGTATTTAAATGAGACCAGGTGTATTTAGAGCCACTGAGAGTCAAAGTGCCACTGAATGGGGCACGTGGTATGATGGGAGAATAGTCCTCTCCCAGGACAAGGCTGGAAATGAAGAGAGGAACCAGATCTGGTGACAATATTGGAGCCCTTGGATCAAGCCGTACCTGAAGCTGGATTTGACTCCTGCACTATCCAGTTGCAATCAGTGAGCTCCCTTTGTCTTTAAGTCTGCTCACATGGGTTTTCTGTTCGTTGCCACTAAAACTCCCTGGCTCTTAGCTGAGCCGCAAGGCTCTCGGCATGTCAGAGTCCCCTGGTGACCCCAAGACTTGGTGGAACTCCACCTTCTACTCACCTGGGTGTCCTGCAGGGCGCTGACCAGAGCAGGCTGTGGGGGTTGTTTCCTGGCATCAATCACAACCACCAGCCCCTTGGCTTTATCTTCCAGCCTGTGGGTAGGAAACAGAAGTAGCAGTCTTCCTAGGTAGCCTGGGGTTCACTGGGCAGATGCGCCTAGTAGCAGACAGGGAAACTGGCTGCTGGAAGCCTTCCTTGAAGGGCAAACTGCTTTACTCCGCAAGACTAAGTTCCAATGCCCCTTCCAGGAAGCCCTCCAGGAGTTCTAAAGATCGCATTACCTCCTAACAAATGTATCTCCCAAGGGCGGGTTTTAATTGGTGGAAACCACATTAGAGACCCAGTTTCCCTGGCCAATGACTTGGGAGAATAGAGGTCACGTGACAAATCTCTGTCTAACGAAATGTGAGAAGTGGCTGGGGCCTTGGGAGGAAGATGTCCTCTCCTTTAAAAAGTTCTTAAAAGAGCTAAAGGCAGTGACATAGGATGCTACATTTCCTAAGTGGCAAGATGCTTTGAACTGGAAATTTGGTGACTTGTAGCCAAAAGCTACAAGCTTTGTGAGCTGGGCTGAGAGTGGGCCACCTTGCAGTGGTTCCTCAGGATTTCCCAGCCTGGCCCAACACCAGGACTTGTTAAAATACCCCACCCCATGCCACCCCAGACATTTTGTCAGCAGGGATCGGGTGAGGTGAGGGTGGGGCTGCCCAGGCCCTGGTCTGATGATCGGAGATTTTTGGGAAGTAACTCTCAACTTCCTTCAAGCCTTGTGATCACCCAGTTCACAGACAAAACCAGAGGAGTCCATTGGGTCGCAGAGCTGTGTCGCTGCCCTTAGTATCTGATGACCAGGGTGAGCTGCTTTCTCTTCCTGAGTCGAGTGAATACTAACAGTACCAGCCGGGTGGGGCTGTGTGCAGACTGAAGCGTGTGGTCACGTAAAGCTCCATCCACTGCATACAGTGAGAGGATGTAAACGTTTGCTGTTGCTACTGTCCTAGAAGGGGAAACTGAGGCACAGAGAGACTTTGTAGACAGGGAGAGGCGGTTCTGAGGTCTCTGACTTCACCTCTCTGCCACAGCCGCCTCTGTGCCTGTGCTGGAACCACGGTTTATGTGCAGACCCGTTTCTGCCATCACCCTGGAGGGCCCTGGAGGTGTGGCCTTTGCGAGGAGCCCTTGGGGCCCTGACTCCACCTAGTGTGAAGGTGGGCCCTGGGCAGGTGCCCAGCTAATGTCTGCTCAGAGCACAAGAGGGAAAGCAGCCCAGCCCACAGGAACCTAGTGGGTACCGCACCCCACAGTTCGGTGTTCAGTCCCCCACCCCTGTCATCCGTAGCCTCATTTGTCTTCAGAGCACACTGGTCATCTCAGTTATAGGTGAGGCTCAGAGAGGACAGGTCACTGCCCCAAGCTCTCCCAGCAAGGCAGTGGGGTTGTTTCTCTTGACTCCTGTGGCCATTTCTCAGCATTGCAAAGGGGGTCCCATTTCCCTTGCTAGAAAAGCCATTCTACCTTGGAAAAGAAGACAAATCCTAGCAACCAGCAGGGGCAATGATGGCAGAGGGAAGGTGCCAAAGGGTTCTACCCCTACCCCAGCAGAACTCCAGGCTGGGCTGGGAATCCACAGCTGCAGTCCCCAGCAATAGCGCCCTAAAGCTGTCCTGGCTGGGGCTGTGTCTCCAAGGGGAAAGAGCCCCTTCCAGTCTGTCCAACATGCAGTCTGAATGGGGGTCAAGAGGAATTGGGGAGGTGCAAAGAGTCATCCTGGGTCACCATCTTTCACTCTCATCCATTCTTTAATTCTCTCTCTCATTCATTTCCCCTTTTTCATTCATTCACAAATATTTATAATTCGTATAATAACTCAATTGTCATCACCTTTTCAGGGAAGACTTCCCTGATTCTCCAGCTGAATTTAGCCTTCTCACTCTTCCCAGGGGTTTACAACAGGGATTTGCAAAGTGTGGTTCCCCCAGACCGAACTTGTTAGAAATACAAATTCTCAAGCCCTCCCGGACCAGCTCTGCTGAGTCAGGAACTCTGCAATCTGGTTATCCAGCCCCACAGTGATTCCCACACTTGCTCAAGTTTGAGAACCACAGATGCCCAACATCTGTTTCTTGCACCACACTAGCTTTCCTGAAAGGCGCCCGTCCACGGTGGTTTCTTGCGCACTGTCCCTCTCTCCTGCCAGCCTGGGCTGGAGGTGTCCCGCCTCTCCCAGCATTTGGCTCAGGACTCGCTCCGGGGGCACCCAGCTGGACGGGTGGACTCAGGCCTCTCCACTCGGTCTGGTCAGGAGCTCTGGGCTCAGCGGGTCCAGGAGGGAATGGAATGGTCAGGGTGGTCCAGGTCCTCACCTGGGGATGCTGCACAGGTATGACAGCACCTTGGTGACCTCCGAGGCTGTGCACCATGGTGCTTTCCAGGCCTCCTCTGCAGTGGACACCAGAAGGAGGGGCCGCCCTGCCCTGTCTCGACCACCTGGAGGAGAGAGAACACATATGGTCAAATAAACTCAGGTGGAACTCTGGTCTGTAGGAGCCTCCCTGTGGGCTCTAGGCCTTTACCCACCCAATCCCTCTGTCTAGAACCCTCTTACTTTCCTTCTGGGCACTCTGAACTCCTTCATCCTTCAAAGACCTAGCTGAAAAGCCACTTTCTGAGAAAAGTCTTCTTTGAGTTCTTTTTCCACACTGAGGCAGCTCACTGTCCTTGGGACTCCTTCTGTAGAGGGTATTTTGGGAGGCAGAGCGAGCTCTGAGGTTGCACAGACAGGGCCTTTGGTCTGCCCTGTCTCACTGTGTGTCTCTGGGCAAGTTTGTGCCCCTCTGACCTCAGTCTCATTTGTTAGATAAGACAAATAAAATACTGGACCGCTCAGGTTGCTCTGAGGATGACATGAGCAGTTCCTGAGAACACTTCGTACACAGGCGAAGGCTGGGTGAATGGGAGTCATGATAAACGCACCTTATCTCTGTTCCCATCCCAGCCCACTGCCTGGTCTCTACTCTCGTAGACTTTCGGCCTGGGTTCCCGACAAGCTGAGTTCTATTCCTGGGACCCAGGCTGTGGGCCTCACTCTTTCCACCAGGAGTGAGCACAGCGGCTGACCCAGCAAACTGGTACATTTGTCTCCTCTTTCACCAGAGGCCCCACCCGAATGGCTCACCTGTCACCTCAGTGTGCCCGACCCTCCTCACCTCCCACCTTTGCTCACCCTGGTTGGCTTCCAAGTCCACCCTTCCCTACTTTCTCCATCTGGTGAAACCCCTTCTGCTCCCCACGCTCACCAAGATGCCACCTCCTCCAGGAAGACACCCTACTGCCTGCCCTCTGTACAACCTGCCCCCACCCCTGGTTCCCATGCACGTGTAAGCCTGTCTGAGACCCGGGGGTCTAAGAGCCCCTCCGAGGTGTCTGAAGCAGCTGACTGCCGCTCCTGTGTTTAGCACATGACCGGATCAGATCATGATGATTGTGACGGGCTGACCAGTGAGGGAGGGCTAGAGCAAAGCTTCTCAAATTCCGCATGCCCAGATCTTGCTAGAATGCAGCCTCTGAGCAGCAGGACAGATTCTGCATCTCCCCAGGCTCCAACGTGACACCGAGGTCATCAGTCCCTAGATCGCACTTTGAATAGAAAGGGCCCGAGCACTCAGGTCATGCCCTCATGGGACTCAGTGATCATGAGGCCAGTTTGTGGGTCTGGTTCCCCACCAGGTGCCTTCTGACCAGGGCTGGGCATACAGCCAGTATTGGCCACTGTCCATCTGATGACCCCATTGCCCCAGATGTTGCCCTTGCCTAACAGGTGGTGCCAGAAACAGACCATTAGTGCCTCAGATGCCTAGCTCAAGGTGGTGGCGCCCACACTGGGATGTGCCTCAGGCATCTCGGGTGGAAATGGGGAGCACAGCTTGGGGTTTATGGGGCGAATACGGTGTTACCTACGACCACCGAAAAACTCAACAAACCTCCAACAAGGAAACAAGGAAAAAGAGAGGTAATACCCGCTAGGAGCTGCAAAGAGAAAGGACAGTGCCCAGGGTCCTCTAAAGATGTATGAAATGAAGTAGAATTGCAGGACAGTTTCCAAAAAGCACTGGGCTTTCTTGTGTTCCCAGACCTTAGCACATGTTATCGCTTTTCTGCCTTTTGGCTAAGATCAAGTGTAGCACATGCTGTTCCCTCTGTCTGGAACCCTGTTCTAACACCTAGCTAACTCATACTCTATGACCGTACTTTACTTCCTTCAGGAAGCCTTCCCAGGTCTCTCCCCACCAGAAGCCTGGACCAGGGACCCCAAATCTGCTCCCACAGCCCCTGTCCTTCTCACTGTCACCATACATTGTGTTGCTACGACCTTTCCAATTTTCTCTACCACTAGATGATAGGCTTCCTGAAGGCAGAAAGCACATCAGACTTGTTCCCTCATAAATCCCCAGGGCTTAGTAGATATTTATTGAATAAATTAAAAAAGAATAATAAACACTTTCAGTATTGGATGCTGTTAGTGCTCTTGCCAAAAGCCACCCAGGCAGAAGAGCACTGATGCCCCAGAGGCTGGAAGTAGTGGCAATAAATGGCCCACAGATGCCTGCTTTCTGAAGAACTGCCCTTGGCTGGATTGGATGACTGGCTCACCACAGCCCTGTCCAGTCTGCTTCAGTTGATGGCTGACAGACCCAGGTTCCACCTGCAGTTAATGACTGACTCACCCAGGATCGGCTTACTGTTGATGACAGACAGACTCAGGATCAGTTTACAGTGGATGGCTGACACCCAGGCTCAGTCTGCAGATAACGACTGACACACCCAGGATCAGTCCACAGTGAATGCTTGACCAATCCAGTTGTAAAAAATAAAGCCAGCCCCATATACCTTAAGATGGAGCCAACTGGACAGTGTGATTCGTGCTCCAGAGCTCCCCATAGGGGCAGACCACAGCCTTGCTATTCCTTCGGCTCCACTGTCCAGCTTCCGGCCTCCTCTCCTGGGATCCCTCCTCCAATAAATCACATTCGCAAGGATCCATGTCCCAGCTCTGCTTCTAGGAAACCCAACAGCCACTTTGGCTCTCACTGAAGTCTGATAAATGGGTGGATGGAGGGAGTGATAACAGAAATACAGACAGATGAATAGATGGATACCTAGAAACTGTTTACAACTCATTCAAATCCTTCATGGAAGGATGAGGAAATGGAGTTCCAGAGATGAAACATGGCCTTCTGGGCTTTTCTCATGTCCTCCTCGCCCACCAGTACCTGAGGATGCTTTGGGATTTCCAGCTATCCCCACCCCCACTCCCACCCACCCCTGCGAGTCCCCCGGAACCTGGCAGGCAGGCTATCCTGGAGTGGAAGACCTCGGCACACATGGTCCTAATCCTGGGCTCAGGCCCTAAGGGCTCCTCCTCCAGGCCAGGGCCTCTTTCTGGGGGGCCTGCCGCAGCTTCTGGGAAGCCAGCTTTCTTCCCAGACAGTAGGTCTGAGTCAGCAACAGGGCCAGATGTTTTTGTCTGAGTTGTTCCATCTGGGGAAAAACAATAACAAAGAAAAGGACATTAAACAGAAGATGGATTTTCTGGGGGGACTCTAACTATCATCGATTTCCTATAAGCCAGGCATTGTGTTGGCTCCTTATTTCCAATATCTCTTTGAACCATCAAAGCATCTTTGTGAAGTAGGTGAGAACCCTATCACACAGATCTGAATGCAGAGAGATTAAGTACCCGGAGGGGTGTCACACAGCCTTATGTAATTCCAGACCTGTGAAACTTCCAGGACCTTAACATGCTGCACTGTGTACTAAACCAATGAAACCCAGCCTGCCTGGGCGGGTCCCTGTCCCTCACAGCCACAGCCAGCTAGGATCTGACCTCATCCAGATGGTATGCTCAGTGGAACACATAGGCATCCTACCTTTCTCCAGAGGTTTGGCTCGGTGTGGTTTGGGAGAGTACAATGAACACAGAACTTTCCAAGGCCCATCATGCTGGAGCGAAGTACTGTCCTGAGGCACAGGAGATCGCCTCTGCCCCTTCAAAAAGGAGAATTTGAGCCCAACAGTGGAGGACCCAGAGGAGGAAGAAGAGGAGGTGTTCTGACTAACATGGTCCATGGGCTTGGGAAGTCTTCTGTCTCCCTGCTTGGTCTTTTCCATCTTGGTTTCAGAGGCTGCGCCCACAGGAGAAGCTGGGGACAGGCAAGGAGAAGATGCTTGTCTTGGTCCAGGCCTGAGCTGGACCACAGTCTCTGGGTTTGCCAGAGGTTCTTGCATCTTGGAGATAGTTGGCTCTTCTGAGACAGCTGCCCAGAGGCCAGAGGCATAGTCCAGTGGCTCGTTGGGAACACTAAGGTAGGGCTGTCTCTCTGAGTTGTGGGCAAGCCCTTTATGCTTGACCTTTCTCTCCAATCCAAAAATACTGGGCTCCTCCTCTGAGTTTGCTGGCTTTGCACAATCCCAGTTTTGCAAGCCCCTATCAGGCTCCGAGATAGCCAGTGTCCTTTGAGACAGAGGAATCTCCCTAGTCCCACCTAGTTCCTCTAGTGCCCCCAAACTATACCCACTGGGCACCTCTACTTCCCTCCTGGGAGACTTTCCTGTATTTTCTTGGGAAAAGTCCAGGAGAGCCACGTAGTCTCCCTCTAAGGCCTGGCTGAGCCCACTGTCCATCTTGAAGGCCTCCTCCCCAGGCTTGGTTTTCTCTACCTTGATGAGTCCCGGATACTTGCTCCTAGATGTCCTACCCATTTCCTTGACAGAATTCTGGGCCAGAAGCACCCAGCTGCCTGTGGAGCTGGCCAGGTGCAGCTCTTGGGAGCTACTCAGATCAGGTGCCTCCAGTGGAAGGGAGTCCCAGGCAGGTGAAGGGACTGTCATTGCCTGGGGTCGACCATCCACAAACTCTGGGCTGGCGATCTTGGTCCAAGGCACAGGGGCAATCCCATTGTTTGAAGCCACCAGGCAGTTGTGCAAAGGTCTTCCCTCAAAGTCACTGTTGACAGCTTCTAGCCACTCTTGAGTGAAAATCAGAGAGTGGGATGACTCAGGAATGGGCTTCTTGTCCACTGTACGGAGGTCCAAGGAGAGGCATTTGATCACCATGCTGACGGACTGCTCCTCCCGGGGCTCCACTTGGAGGTAGAAGTCACCCTGGCGCAATAAGAGGGGATTGAGTGGAGCCAAGTGGACCACAACTTCATCCCGCAGGCAGAGTGGCCAGCCCTCGTGCAGGAAGAGGTGGTGGGTGTAGGGAGCCTGCAGAGGGAAGGACACATCAAGATCTCACCCTCAGATCTGCTTCCTTCCCTCACCCACATGGAATCCTGGACATAGCAGGGACTGTGGGAGCCAAGAGAGGCAACCGGGATGTGGCACTGAGGAGGCCCTCACTCTCTGGGCTGGGCAAGGCTTCCTCTCTTTCCTCACCCTGGTCTTGGCCCTGACCTTGAAAACAGCCTAGTGGCCCAAAGGAAGATGCTCTGAAAGCAGGTGCTATTTAGCAGGTGCCTTTCCCCTGATGACCTTCTTGCTCTGCTCATGCCTCCTCCCCTTGTCTTCGAGTTCATGCCATAGCCCTCCACTGTAACCCAGGGAGACACTGGGTTGAAAGTCTGTGAGTAGTACTTAATTGCTCAGAGTCTTCATTTCTCTATCTGCAAATAGGAATAATAAACTACATTAGTACTGGTGGCTTAGTATGAGGGTTAAGTGATATGAAAACCAGTCCAACACCTGGCATATAATAGGTAAATGTTCAATAAATATTAATTCTCTCTCCTTTGAACAACACTTATCCTTTTTTAAATTGTGGGATTTTTGTGTGAAGATATAAAAAAATCATTTGCTGCATTTATTTCCTCCTCTAGTTCTAAGTAGAGAGGTGACAGCATGAAGCAGGAGCCATGCTGAATGAGAAGCCAGGAGATCTGGCCCTGCCACTAGCTTCAGGTCACCTTGAAAAAGCCACTTCACTCTTTCATTCTGACCCCAGAGTCATTCCAGGATTGAATGGTAATCATTTATTTGTTTGTTATTTATTTAATTTTCCATTAGAGGGTAAGGACATGGCAAGTGAGGCAAAACATATATATGTCAAACAAAGGTGCCAGAAATTCTCTGAATAGACAGACACAGCAAGTCACCCTGGAGCAGGCCAGACCTGAGTGATCCCCTCTCCATGGGGCTACATGGAACAGTTAAGCGTTGACAAGAAACTACACCTATCTATTTCTGCCTGGCGTTTGGCTTCAGTAAGTCCCAGTTTTATACAACTTGGATGCCTGTATGGAAGATCCCCAGAGAGTGACTAAAGGAACAGGTGTTTCCTGATGTTATTAATTGAGGAAAGCGTGAGATTTGACTGTGTTTGTTCCCCGAGGCGATAAACTAGCCCCTACCTGTGGCCTGCAGATCTGGCTGTCTCCAAAACCTTTGCATCCGTGATCTTTCCTGAGCATGAGTGACGCCTCCCTTTCCATACAGCCCCCACGTCTTACGAATGCCTTCCCCACCTCCTAGAATGAGACTAAACAGCCCAGCCTGGATTTTACAACCAGCGAAGCAGCAATGAGGTGACAGCTGTGTTAGTCCTGTTCGACTCACAGTAACTCAGGCTGCTCAAGCATTATTATTCTCATTTACACGCGTGACCACTGAGGCTCACAGAGGGGAAATAGTTGCTTCCAAGTCAGCTGAGAAGTAGCAAAAGCAGGACTCTGCCGAGTTCTTCTAGTGGGAGTGTGATGTGCCTGTCCCCAAACCCTGGTGGGTTGCATCTGAAGGTGGGTGTCTCTGGGTGATGGAGAGGAGACCTAGAGCTTGCACTCTAATTTCCAACAGGCAAATGAGGAAGCTGGAGAAAACCAGCGACAGCTAAGAGCACTCACTGCTGCCAGACTCCAGGCCACCTGTGGTGTCACCTGTACGTTAGCTAATCATTTATTAAAATTCACACAAGGAACTGAAGCTCAGCGAGGTGACATGGGTCCCCAGGTTCAAAATGATGAAGCCTGGATTCAAATGTGGGTAGCTAACACCGGAGGCCCTCTTGTGAATCCCACAGTGCACCCTCCTGCTGTGGTGACATGAGTTGGCCTGTAATTCCAGTCAAATTGGATTTGCCTATAATTAAAAATGAAAGTACAGAAAGGCCGTGACCATGTCACTGAGCAAACTGAGGGACGGAGCACTGTAGATGTGGTTTTAATGGCCCAATACAGGAAGTGGCGGTTGTGTGGCTTGTCCAAGAGAGGAAATGAGGCTGGAGAGGCTCTGAGTGAAATAATTCCAGCGCATAGGTGGCTGCACACACTTCCATGAGAAGTTCCTGGAGGAGAAGCCTACAGGACCAATTCTTATGCGTAGAAAATCCCTATGTGCTGGGCCCTGTGTGGTACAGATTGAACAGATGATCTCTCTTCTGCCCGCTCCTGACCATCTCCACCCTGGTTCCTGAACAACACGCACAGTCTCCATCCTTACTGTGCTCCTTGTTGGCTACATCCCAGACAGGTAGGAGCAACCCAGGAAAGGCTGGTGGACCTAAGGCACTCTTTGGGGGTCTTGAGGTAGAGTGGCAGGGGGTGGGTATTAAATAACAGCAGTGCAGGGAACAGTTAGCAAATCTGTGAGGAGTGTGGGCACTGCCTGTCTGGGCTTCTGAGGACTTGATCCCCTCAGAGATCTACCCACCTTTTTCTTAAGTCTCATCCTCTCACCACAGAGGCAGGCAGGCACATGACTCAAGTGTGGCTAATGTTAATGCCCTGTTCCTCTGGACATAGTGATTGGTCTAGCAATGGACACGTGATTTATGCCTGGCCGATCAGGATCTTTCCTTGAGGTGGTTTTGTTGTTGTTGTTGTTGTTGTTGTTATTGTTCATTTGTTTTGGTGGCACTCAAGATTGACAGTGAGCTACATCTACAGCCCATTTTTAAAAATTTTTAAATTTTGAGAAGGCCTTGCTAAATCACTAAGTTGCCCAGGCTGTGGGCTTGTTTATGAAACTCCTGACTTAGACTTCCAGAGTTCTTGGATTATAGGCATGTGCCACCATGCCGGGCTCCTTGAGATTTCTCTCTCTGTAGCTGCTCAGGAACAGTTCATTTTCCTTTCAGGGCAGGAAGTAATCTTAGAGCTTTCATGGGCCCAGCTTTGGAGCACCCAGCTGGAAGAAAGATACTGGCAATCAGGGAGAAAGTGTCTTCAGGTGTTTGATGGGTGAATCGCCTCAGGCCTGATCTAAGGGAGGATTCTGTCATTTCCAGCTACCAAGTCTTGCCTAAAATATTTTTCTCTCCTCTTTGCCCTAAAAGAGGCCCTCTTGAGATTTGAGTTTGAAGGAATCTCCAGGGACAAAAGCAAAAGCCCTAATGCCCGAGGGCTCCAGAGAAACTGTGGCACATTCTCTGCTATTTCTGTGGATGCTGCTTCGTTTGGGCCAAGGCAGCCTGGTGATGACCACATTCCAGCCCCATGCAGGCTCCTCAATGCCAGGGCGGCTCCAAGGATGCCTATCTGTAGGCCTCCCTTCCTGCCAGTGAGCCCCAGATATCAGAGGGTAAAAGGCCAGGTGATGCTCCCACTCCACTTGGGAGTCACTTGGAAAGCCACCCCATGTCTTCAGTTCTGCCTGTGAGACATGACACACAGCAGCCCACCTCCTTCCCTGCTCCCCTCCTGCCCCACGAGCTTCTGGGGGAGCTTGGCCCTGGCTCTTCATCCCTGCTGACTTACACAGGCAGCTTCACGCACTTGCTCACACAGGCGCTTGGCGGGAATCAGGAAATCTAGGAGGAAGCTCAGCCCATCCCCCTGGAAGTCAGAGTCCAGTAGCCGGAACACCTGACTCAGGACAATGGGCGCAGTGGACTCAAAAGGCGGGTAGAGGCCTGCCAGGGCGTGCTGGATGGCGGCATCCAGTGATGGAGGGTCCTGTGGGGAACAAGAGGAGAGGAATGAAAGTAATAGTGACAATGATACAAAGGCCCGTGGTCATTATCTGTAACCTTCCAGGTCCCATGTCAAGAAAGCCCCTGCTAAGTCTCTAACCTCCTCTTCTACCACCTCCCATCCTTGCCCCTCCAGCCACCGTGGCCTTCTTTCCTATTCCTCAAATACACCGAGCACGGTCCCAGCTCAGGGACTTGGCACTGGCTGTTGGCTCTGCCTAAATCCTGTTCCTCAAGATGTCCTCATTGTCTTGCCTGCTGCAGATGCCATCTGTTGGTCTGATGAGGAATGGAGGAACACGAGGAGTCATAAGGGTCAGGGTCCAAGGGAAAGAAGTCAGTCCCCCAAATCCCATCATCTGGCTGACCTACAGTTTAGAGGTGGACCGCACAGATCAGGCCCCCCGGTCCACAGCGGATGTGTCGGTGGCACTAAGTGATTGTTTCACTGAGTTTGGGGTGGTTTGTTACACAGCAATAACTGACAGATATAAGCCAGAGCTCCAGATGCATAGACCCAGCTGCTTCCTGAACGACTTCCTCCAGTGGTCAGTCAGGCAGAGACCATCAGCACATCACCCCCAACTCAGCAACTTCCCAAACCCTGTTTTCCTCCCCAGCGATGGCCCCATCCAGGCAGCCTCTGAGGCTCTGCCTCCTTCAGCTGCTTCTTGACTCACCAACAGCCCTCAGCCACGCTCCATGCCATCTCCCTTCCTCCAAGAGCTCCCTCAGTACACAGTGCTCCTCATTCCCTGCCCCTGCACAGGCTGGGCCTCCACCGTCTCCTCCAGGGAATTGTCTCTTCCTTGGTCACCAGCCCCTCATCTTCCTCACTGCAGCCATCACAGTGACCTTTCTCCAAAATAAACCTGACCTTGTCAGTGCCCTGCTCAACATCCCTCGAGGGTTCCCGGCTGCCTCCAGGAAGCATCAGCCTCCAGGCATCCAGCTCCCTCGGATCTGGGCACTGTGCTCAGCCCCAAGCTCATGGCCCCTCTCCAAGCTTTGGCCACAGTGGTCACCAGTGTCTCCTCGTTCACCTCCAGGCCTTTCCTTCCTCCTGAGTGCCCTCCTCTTCCCAGCTCCTTGTTCTCTGAGGCTCAGGTCATCCTTCACCTCCTTCAGGTCTTCTCTGACCTCAAACCTGTCCCCTTGTGGCTAGGAGATCAGACGTCCCCTTTCCTGAGCTCTTCTCTTACAGCGCCCCTATGCTAGCAGCTCCCATGCGGATGGCCGCTCCCGGACGGCAGGTGTGCCGGGCAGAAGAGCCTGAAGATGCCTACATCCTAATTTCCAGAACTGAGGACGGTATTACCTTGCAGACAATGGCAGACCAAGATTGCAGTTAGAATTAAGGTTGCTAATCAGCGGGCCACACAGCAGAGATTCTCCTGGACTCTGCAGGTGGGCCGTTGCATTCCCAAGAGCCCTCAGAAGTAGGAGAGTGAGAGGGGGCGTGACTATGGAAGCAGGATTACATAGAAGTCATGTGCTGGCTCTGAACACAGAGGAAGAGCCAAGGAATGTGGTCGGCTCCTAGAAGCTGGAAAAGGCAAGTAAATGGATTCCCCCCGAGAGCCTTCAGAGAAGAATGCAGCCCGGCTGTCACCTGGAATCTTATCCCCACAAGGCCTCTAGATCCGGAGAACTGCAGGATGATAAATCTGTGTTACTGCAGGCTTATCTGTGTGTGATCATTTGCTGCAGGAGTGACAGAAAACACTGCACACTGGCTTCTCTTCCCTCTGGGTCCTCCACACCCGCCCAGGGGCTGGCACAAAGTAAGTGCCCAGTACACTGTGTTTCGGGATGAACCTAGTGTCCTTCCTTGAACCACATTTTACATCTATAAAATAGGCAAGTTGGACAAGCCCAGAGGTTTGCAACAGCTGCAATGAGACCTGAGGATTCTGACTTTCAACTCTTAGAGAAACTAAAGGAAGCCTGGCTGGGAGCCCTCTGGCTAAGGGGCTTAGGGGTGGAAATGAAGAAAGACCCTGAAAAGGCAGAGCTTACTAGGCGGGAAGGGTCCCCTTTCTGAATGAGGCCTTGAGAGACAGACAGGAAAACAGAACAGGGACCTTGAGTAGGAGGATGTGGCTCTATCCAGCAAGATTGCCTGGCGGGCACACAGCAGAGGCCCAAGTCCTTCTCCACTTGTAGCCCATGCACGGCCAAGCCCTGGGCTGGCCTCCCTCACAATGAGCAGGTGATGACTGAAGGAAGGAAGGAACGTCTACAGCCCCGTTCTGAGGAAAGAGGGTCTGGGTCCTGGTGCGGCAATGGACCGAGGGGTGACTGCTGACAGGGACTTGATGCCCACAGTGCACATTTCCAGGAGGGGCAAAGGGTCTTCACTGTGGCAGCACAGGGAAAGGCTCGTCCAGCCTGACGCCTCCTCCAGTGCCCCCAGCCCTCACCATGCAAGGTCAGACCCCAACGGTGCCCACCCCTGCGATCCTAGTTCAGCAGTGGGAAACGGGACAGAGGCCCTCAACTGCCCTCTGTGAGTACATGAGCACACCGAGTCCACCAGACTCGGGCCTCTCCCCTGCCGCACACCTCCTCCCTCCATCCTGCCTCTTCTGGACCTTAGCACACGTGACTGCCATCCAGCCTTGAGTAGACCCTTCGCTTTCTGGGCCTCTTCCCTCCATGCAGATTAAACGAGGCCAAGTTGGTTTCGCTTTGCAGAAGCTCACCACTCATTGTCACATTCATGATATTCTTTGCTTTTAACGACTTTTGTACTATTACCCTGTTTTTCTTCAGGTCCACTTCTTTAAAAATGCACAGACAAAACCCAGCCAGACTGCTAGGGTTCAAACACTACTTCTGTCTCCTACTGATGGGTTTGACCAGGACAGTTACTGAACTCCCTATGCCTCAGTTTCCTTAGCTGTAGAACAGAGATCGTAATGGTACCCGACTTAAATAGTTGATAGAGATTCAGTGGGATTGTACATGTGAATTCTCTGTACAGGACTAACGTTTAGTAGGTGCTCATTAAGTACCAGTCATTACTGATATTCTTGTAGTCCTATAGCAGTTAGTGTCACATCGCCACCATAAATAGAAAAACCTGTGTCAACTTGTACGGATAGAACACAGATGCATTAGTTCATTGCGTGGGTTTGATGTTATTTATATAAATAAATATTTATATTTATTACACATATGTATAACTATATATCAAGTCATTCACTTCTGGTCTGTGATATATCTGATGACCTAGCTACAAGCTGCATCCAACATCTAGGAGGCAGTGACATACACTGTCTCTGGTTAATGTGCCTCAGTTTCCCCATCTGTAAGTGGAATTCTAGTCTCCATCACAGCCTGCTCAGCTGATTGTCCTGGAGATGCAAGGAGATACTGAGGGCACAAGAGGGTCTCGGGAAAAACCAAAAGGCACTGCAGCTGCTGTTCTTGTTGTCATCTATTTTTACCCACCCTGCCAGAAGCTCCGGTCCCACCCTGAGGGAAGACAGGCACCTTCCTGAATCTGCTACCATCAGCGCAGTAATAACAGCAGTTCCCCAGGCATCTGCTATCCATCAGGCCTGCAATTTGTGTTCTCTTGCTCAGCCCAGGCTGCGAGGTCAGACCCCAACAGGTACAGGGAGGGCTGACCTTGCTCAAGGTCACAGAGAAGGAGAGAGACAGAAACTGCGCTCCCACCCTGACCTGGGTCAGCTGAGTCAGCGGCCTTTCCCTGCCTCCTGCTGCCTGCTCTGCTGGGGAATCGCCCGCCACAGGGGTGGCCTGTGCAGCTGCCTGTGCCTCCCACTTTCCAGTGGGGCCTAAAGAAACTGTTTACCGCTGGAAGAGCAAGTCTCTCGGACTAAAACGCCCTTGGCCTTCACAAATTGGCTCGTGTCTCCACGCAGTGTAATCATTTACGGGTGGCCAGTAAAATGCGAGACTGCTCCAAGTTAACAGAGCTCTGCACTCTGCGCCAGTGTGTTACCTGCTACAGGCCTGAACTCCAGGGGCTCCTAAGTATCCAAGTGTGGGGGTGGGGGGGAGATCACGATGAAGGAGGCCCTGGTGGCTGCAGAACGGAACACTGGCCACTCGCCATCCCAAATCAACCTGGCAGCCCAGCCTTCTACCATAGGAACCTGAACGCCATTGGCCAGACCTGAGCCCCTCAAAGTGATTTCCATGAAACTTAATAGACGTGTTTCCATTCCTTCCCAATGCGGCAGCCTGGCAGGCCTTTAGCTGCTCCTCGGCAGGAACTGCGGAGGGTGTGAAGCTGAAAAGGAGAAGGCGAGACCAGCCGGAGCCAATACCACCTTCCAGCCCCCTCCCCTACAACCTAGGGCCAGAGGAAGGGGCTGCTGTGTGGACCCTGGACCTGCACAACCAGGCCATGCCTGGCCCCTACATGGTGCTCTTGATCTTCTAGGCTGACATGGGGACATTCGAATGGTGCTGGAGGACACAGAAACTGGCTACTCACAAGGGTGATGTCAGGGCAGGAAGCAGCTGTGTCCATATACTTCTATTTTAATGTCTTTGCAATGAACTGCTATTTATCATCATCTTAAGTCTATTTTAATCAAGCAAAATGAACAGATACAAAATGTACAGGTTGATATATTTTCACCTATATGCAGACCCCTGTACCATTACCCAGATCAATATACAAAAGATTTCTACCATCCCTCCTCTTCCTCCTGACTCCCCGCACGACAGGACACATCTTTATTATAGATTTTTTAACGAAGAATTCCCATACAGTTTGATCTACAGAATGCGTATGAGCCCAGACACAGTCCAAATGGGCATTAAATAAAGTGTTAACTGCAGTTACCTCAAGGGCTGTGAGTGGAAGGGGCCTCATAAGGCAGCGTTTTAATTTTCATAGTTCGCTGGATTTTCCAAATGTTCTGTAACCAGCTCGTATAGCTTTTATAATTGGGAGAAAAAAATAAAAGTGTGATTTTGTGTATTTTTAAGACTGGGGCCTTT